ATGTTGGTTGTCCGAGGCAAATGTGGAAATGAGATCGAGACGCGCGGCTATCGGTACACGCAGCGTGGCCGTTGCACGGTGACTGTCCGGTTCGCGTCCGAACACAGATGGTGCGCCGTGCGTATTACCACTGCGTCGAGACCGTATAGGCCCGGACCACATACAAAAGCTCATACCTATCTCTGCTACACCGAGGGCATTGTCGGCGTGCGGCGACCTACAGCACGCGGGCAGCGCGCGTGGGCACATATATGAGCCTCTCAGTGCGGTCGCATTACACTATCTTGAGAAGCAGATGTATGGGATCGGAACGCATACTACTGTTCTCGCTGAAGTTCTCGCATCAGTGTACCAGCACAGTACTTGATAGCCCTCCATTGCTGTCAGTGGCCACGTGGCATCGCGCATTGGAGCTGCCTTTCCAGAACTTAGCCCGTCCAGTTCTGGTTAAGTGTGGTCAACACATCAAGTACACTGCATTTGTGCACACAAATGGAGCATCCGTTTGGGCTTTTCAATCACTATTATGGGACAGAAGCTGCGGAAAGTGTCTGGTATTGGGGATTGACACAATTGGATAGGCTATAACGTTAGGCTCATGGCGTATGGCTATTCCCTTCTGAAAAGCGAGATCTTACCGAGCATCTAAAGAAGACCTTGCAATACACTTGAAAGGACTGGTATTGAACCAGAAAAGGTCGAGTCGAGAGCGTTTTGCGGCGGCGAACGCTTTGCCGGCTTTGGTTCCGCACCCCGACTAACTTCTTTTCCAGCGTTCTCCGAGTCGTTTGACTCGTTTTCCTGCGATGTGAGTCATATCAACCCAGGATATCTACCCAACCTTCTAAATCAACACCGAGAACTCGCCGCAATATTAGCACCTTGCACATACGGCAAGCAGTAATCGGCAAGCCTACCATTTGTATGGTAGCGAGCCGAACAATGACATACCACTGTATGAAGGAGAGACATTGTGGCTAGGGGTAGACGTTCTTGCAAGAGATGGCGGCCACTGGTGCGAACGTTGCTGGATATGCAACACCCGTTGCAACGTGTTTGCCGCCACCGCCGATGCAAACGATCTTGAGCCCACGGCGTTTTCCAAGCAGCTCACTTTTCATTTTGCTCTCTCCAAGACACCACCACTCTCCAAGATGAAGCTTTTTGCCTCGACGCTCCTCCTCGCCGCCGCCGTCTCCAACGTCGATGCTCACGGCCGCATGGTGTTCCCGCCCCACCGCGGCTACATTGGCAAACTTCCCAACTTCAAGGACATCCCCATCAACTACAGCGACAATGGCTTGAGCGCCGGCGGCATCGGTGCCACGTCCGGCGGCAAGCACGGCGTCTGCGGCGACCCGTACACCGGCGCGCGCCACCACGAAACCGGCGGTACCTACGGTCTCTTCCCGACGCTCGGGTCCAAGGCCATTGGCGCTTGCTTCGCACCCGGCGCCACCATGGACCTCAACATCCAGATCACGGCCAACCACAAGGGTTACTTTGAGTTTGGTCTCTGCAAGCTCAACGGCAAGG